ACTGTAGAGATGAAAGGAAAGAAAAAGAAATGAAGAAGGAAGGGAGGGAGGAGGAAGGGACTGTCTTACGTGGCAAGTTGTTAATAGTCAATCACAAAGTAAGAAAAGCGGTCACAGAGTTTCCTGTTAGTCAACAAGCAGTCTATGAGGAGATTTACTTGTCACTGTAAATACCTTTTAGCACTGCTGGAATATTTTGCCATGTACATGCATGAATTATTTATTACAAAGAGTTGTACTTCTTTTTTTTTTTTTTAAAAAAAAGAGCAATCTAACCTTCTATTTAGACCAACAAAAATTTACGGCGTTCCAGGCACTGTGCTAAGCTCTGAAGATGTAGAGGTGAGTACGACTCTTCCTGCCTTCTAGGAGTTCATGATCTAGCTCAGTGCTTCTCAAACTTTTAACGTTCTTCCAAATCACCTGGAGGTCTTGTATATTAGCAGGGCTTCGAATCAGTTCGTTCCGGTTCGACCCCCTGCTGAGAATTTGCCTTTCTACCCCAGATACACTGAATCAGCTTGTTTCCCTCAGAGCGAGGAGTGATCCTAGAAAGGCGGAAGCTGCAGTCTTTTATGACCAAGCCTTGGAAGTCACATTCTATCATTCCCGATGTATTCTATGTCTGAAGCAAGTGACTAAGAACAGCTCACACTCAGGGAAGAGAAATTCGATTTCACCAACAAGAGTGTGTCAAAGATTTGGGGACATATTTTAAAATCACTACATCAGGTTAGAATGCAGTCTTTGATTCAGTACGTATGGGGAAGAACCCCAAATTCTGCATTTCTAACAAGCTCCCAGGTGATGCCACAGCTGCCACTCCATGAGCACACTTTGAGTAGTGAGGGAATCAGAGACATGCGAAGAACTGTAGAGCTCAGAGTGCCTCTTTGAACTACACTGCTTCGAGAATAACATCCTTCGTCATGCTGGCATCATCTTTGGATGGTGTCCAACTTTAAAATCACATTTCCCCTGAAAGGTCAGAGCAGTAAAGTAAAGGAAGACAAGATTACCTTGTTAATACATAAGGACAAGCCGTAATGGAATGAAAAACAACCAAAGGGGGATTCAGAAAATCACTCTGGCCTTGTTCTGGAAACTCTCAGAAGCATAAAACATCAGCCATCAATTCCGAAGAGGATGCTAAACACACAACAGCAAATCTGGGCTTTTAATAAGGATTGTACAGTGTCTTCATGTGACTAAGACTCCTGGCTGTGATACAGAATCACCTCTGCAATAAGAGGGCAAGGAATGGCACCAGAATCTCAGAAAAGCAGGGATTCTATATGCTCTGCTGGCTGGAAGAACAGGTGGTTAAAGACATCATCTGCCCATTGAACAGCCTGGCTTGAAATCTGCTTTCAAATATAGCATCAACTAAATTCTGAGCTATAACTCAGGTACCATAGTTCACCATTTTAAAGTGTACAATTCAGTGGGTTTTAGTACCTTCATAAGGTCGTGCAATCACCATTATCCAATTCCGGAAAGTTTTCATCACCCCAGAAAGAAACCCTGTACCCACCAGCAGTCACTTCCCATTTGCCCCCATCTCTCCTAGCCCTAAGCAACCACTAATCTACCTTCTGCCTCTATGGATTTCTCGATTCTGGCCATTTCATATATATAAATGGAATCAAATACATGGCCTTTTGTGTCTGGCTTCTTTCACTTAGCATGTTTTCAAGGTTCATCCATGTTGTAAAATGCATCAGTACTTCATTACTTCATACCTTTTTACAGCCAAATAATATTCTGTTGTATGAGTATGTCCACATTTTGTTTATCCATTTATCAGTTGATGGACATTTGAGTTGTTTCCACTTTATAGCTATTAAGAATGTTACTATGAAGTTCATGTACAAGCTTTTAATATGAACATGTTTTCAATTCTCTTGGGTATATGCCTAGAAGCAGAATTGCTGGGTCAAACGATAACTCTATGTTTAACTTTCTGAAGAACTGCCAAACCGTTTTCCGAAGCGGCTGCACCATTTTACCAGCAGTGGATGAAGGTTCCAATTTCTCCACATCCTCCTCGACACTTGTGATTATCTGTTTTCTTTACTACAGCCATCCTAGTGGGTGTGAAATTTCATGGTATCTCAGGGTCATGCATTTCCCTGATGACTGATGTTGAGCATCTTTTCATGTGCTTAGTAGCCACATGTGTATCTTTTTTGGAGAAATGTCTATTCATATTTCTTGCCCATTTTTAAATTAGGTTATTTGTCTTTTTATCATTGAGATGGAAGAGTTATTTATATATTTTAGATACAAATCCCTAATCAGATATATAAGACTTGCAAACATTTTCTCCCATTGTATAGATTGTCTTTCACTTTCTTGGTAGTGTCCTTTGAAACCCAAAGTTTTAAATTTTGATGAAGTCCAATCTATCTGTTGTTTTCTTTGGTTGCTTGCGCTTTTAGCGTCATGTGTAAGAAACAATTTCGCAATCCAAGGTTATGCACATTTAAATCTATGTTTTCTTCAAAGAGCTTTATAGTTTTAGTACTTACATTTAGGTTTTTGGTCCATTTTGAGTGTGTTTTTGTATATGGTGTGAAGTAAACCAAAAAAAAACAAACAAACTCACTGCCATCGAGTTGATTCTGACTCATAGCAACCCTAGAGGACAGAGTAGAAGTACCCCATATGGTTTCCAGTAAGGGGCTGGTGGATTCAAACTGCCGACCTTTTGGTTAGCAGCCATAGCTCTTAACCACTACACCACCAGGGCTCCACGGTGTGAGGTAGGGTTCCAAATTCATTCTCCTGCATGTGGAGATCCAGCCTATTGTGTTTTAAATCATAAGCAAGAAGTAGAGATAATGGCTTTCTTTTGGTTTCTTTTTCATTCAATTTGGATTTAATTTTGCTGAGAGGTGCACAGGAGCAGCAAGGGACTTCGCATCTATTTCTTCATTCAATTCCATCAACAACTATTTATTGTGCACCTTTTACATGTCAGTTATTGAAACAGAGCTTACATTCTAGCAGGAAGAAAGACAGTAAGTCTATTATATGATATGCTAGAAGGCGGTAAGTACTACGTGGGGAGGGAAGCAGAGCAGAACACGAGGATGAGGCATGCTGGGGGTGGGTAAAGGGGTAGGGTAGGGCCTTGCAATTTCAAAAAGCGTGGTCAGGGTGGGCCTCCTTTAAAAGGTGACACTTGAGCAAAAACCTAGGAATTGGCAAGAGATTTGACTATGCAGATACCTATAAAAGAGCATTCCAGAAAGGGGAAACAGCCATTGCAAAGACCACAAGGCTGACGTCTGCCTGGCCTTTTTGAGGAACAGCAAGGAGGCCAGCGTGACTAGGGTAGAGTGAGAAAGGGTGTAAAAAAGCCACAGAGAGTCAGATCATTTTAGGGACTTTAACTTTTATTTTGAGGCAACTGGGAAAAACCACAAGGTTGAAGAGGATGAGCTGAGCAGTGACATGACTTGGTTTGTGGTTCAAACACTCACTTTGGTTGCTGGGTTGAGAATGTACCTTCAGAGGTCAGGGTTAAAGGAGAAAGAGTTAAAATTAGGATGTTTCTGAAATACTTGCAATAAGAGACGAGGGCGCTGGGATCCAAGTGGCAGCAGTGGAGGTGGTGAGAAGTTTTTACGAGAGCCCACAGGATGTCTTGGCTGATTGAATGGCATGTGATAGAGCAAGTATCAAAGGTGACTCCACAGATTTTGGACTGACTACCAGAAGGATGGAGTCGCCATTGACTGCAACGGGGAAGGCCACTAGGGGAGCAGGTTTGTGGGGTGGGGGTGGGGGGTGGGGATGAGAAGAGGAGCTCAGTGTTGGACATGTGGAAGTCCTTAACTTCCAATGGAGGGGTCAAGTAGGCAGTTGGATATTTAAAAACGGAGTTCTAGCAATACAAATGTAAAGAAATTAGCCACGAGGCAGGATGAGACACCCAAGGGAAAGGTAGACTGAGAACAGAGCCAAGGACCACACCCTGGGACCCTCCGGCATTAAGGGATCAGGAGAGGAAGAACCAGCGAGGAAGCTGGCTTTTGTAGCAGCATGGCAACGGCTTAAGAACATCTTCTTCCCTCTCCTCCCTTCGTTCCTTTTCCATTCTCCCTCCCTCCCCTCTTTCCTCCACCTTCCTCCCTCCTTTCTTCCTTTCAGTGGGCACCTACCAGGAATTAGAAACATTTTTTTTTTTTTGCCCTCAATAAACTCATGGTCTTGTAGGTGAGAAAGACATAAATGCACACTTAGAAAAGAATGTGGACATGCAGCAATAACGGCCTGGAGCTTGGGTTTCCAGCTGTTAACCAACTACACTAAATGAGACTTCAGACAGCTGTGTGTAGCCTAGCGCAAGACTCTGGCATCTAAACCTGTCTTTAACCCTTCTCTCCCATGTTTAATTTATTGCAACTATTATTGGGAGACTGATTCACTGGATCATCTAAAACTAAAATAGCTCTTGGTTTAGGAAAAGAGACTTCTATCGCCCTGTCTACTATTCTTCAAAACTAGACCCTCTGCAAGGTGAGTCAGGCCTGGCTGTTAGGGGCTAATTAAACACAGGGCACTGGGTGGGAGGCATCTCCGTAAAAGATGGGGTCCTTCACCACAAGAAGCTTACAATTCATCTCAAGGGTTCTCAGCTCTGACTCATATTAGAATCACCTGGGGAGCTTTTGAAAACATTTTGATCCTGGGCCCCACCTAATTAAATCAGAAATTTTGGTCTATAAATTGAATTTATTTTAAAAAGCTCTGCAGGACATGCTAATGTGCAGCCAGGGACGAGAACCACTGACTGAGGTTTTCCCTTAAAACCTTAAATGAATTCATGAAAGTATGAAAATTTTAGTTGATTATTTTGGTAGCAGACCTTAAGAAAATGTTTATAATTCAACGCTGCAAATGATCCAAAACTTAGCCTGTTCTTTGGTGGAAGTAACCCCCGCCCCCATCCACAATTCAGAAAGGAAATGACGAGTCTTCCACTTACTTGATGGATTTGAGAGTCTTCCTTCATCAATCTTAAATACTCTAATATTTTAAATTTACTTTTATTACCAGTAAAATCAAGTTGTTGTTTTTCTTCTCTTAAAGATGTGTTACTTTATTAATGATTCATTTTTTATGTTTTAGGAGAAAATCAACTATGAGACCAAACAAAGAGCACCTTCGTTTGCTGTAATTTGAATGTGCTTGCTGAACTGTCGTCCTCACGGTTTAAGACAGCCCAGAGAAAAATCAACATTGCGGATTTTCATAACAGGAAAAAAAAAGTTCACAGTTCATTAACAAAATTCACGTAACAATAACTGTACATTTCCTTTGCTGCAAAAAATCACTTGTCAAAATCATTAGCATCCCTTATAGTTAGGGATAAGTGGACATAATTTAAAATCTTTCTGACAAATATATTGCTGCACTGCATCCGGCTTGGATAGCACTCTTCAAAAGGGCATATGCTGGAGCCTATTTAAAAATAACAAGCAAACAAAAGAAACATGTTACGTTCCTCTTTAGTTGCAAGATGCAAGGCTGGCATGGCAGGGTTTGGAATTCCTTACATAAGAAGTAAGATGTGAGAAACAATTTATTTTTATTTGGGAGAAAAAAAAAAAAAAACCTTTGCAAAAGGTTGGAATGCCTCTGCTATTGCCAAAGCATGAGAATCATGTGTTTTCTCACAGTAAAGGAAGAGATGATGTAATCTGAATGTGCTTGCTTGGGAAAAGGATAAGGGAGGAAGCAAGAAATACGATTGCCACTCAGGAGCAATACTTCTGCTTGTTTTATGTCAAAGCAACATGACTGGTTTTCTTCCTTTAGTGATCACTTTAAATCTACTTCTCTCTAAACAAGAACTCTCCTACTCTCTTAACCTCCCAAATAAAGCCCCAAAGCACCACGAGCAAACAGTAACAGTCAGGTACCTACCAATTCTGCGTCGTGGTCGAGGCCTATATCATGGTGCTCGAGCTCTTCATCCCGAAATTTCTTTATTATCTGATTAAATTAAAAAAAAAAAAAAAAAAAAGAAGTGAGTCAGCATTCCAACTGTTCTGTTGTTCTTTTATTTTGGAGGCTAAAGCCTGACATCATAGTCTGAGACAGGGTCGGCAAACTTTTCCTGTAACAGGCCAGATAAATACTTCAGGCTCTGCAGGCCATACAGTCCCTGTTGCAACTACTCAATGACTTCATTCCTGTTGCCACTGAGTTGATTCCAACCCTACAGGACAGAGCAGAACTTCCCCACAGGGTCTCCAAGGCTGTAATCTTTACAGAAGCAGACTGTCACATCTTTCTCCTGTGGAGCAGCTGGTGGGTTTGAACCACCGACCTTTCCGTTAGCTGCCATGCATTTAACCATGGTGCCACCAGGGCTCCTTACTCAATGACTACTACCCTGCTACTGCAGCATGAAACAGCCATAGACAATATCTGAACTAATGGGCATGTCCATGATCCAATAAAACTTTATTTACAGAAACAGGTGGTCAGCCTGCAGGCTGTAGTTTGCTGGTATCTTGTTGTTCGGGCTTTTAAAAAATTATGTTAATGAATAAACAGTTCCTTATTTGCTGCAGAAAATTATCTGAGGATATCTATTAATTCTTTTATTTCATCTACAGGGTTCATGCTCACAGCATTTCCTCAGATTCTCCCAATGATACTGAACTGCAGTTCTGGTCCCAGCTCTGCCTAATCATGTGACCAGGACAAGCAGCTTCACCTCTCCGTGCCTCAGTTTGCTTACCTTTAAAATAAGGCACTGACCTAGACACCTAAGCCCCCTTCATTCCCTAACATTCCATTTTTCATTCTTCTTGCCAAATTATATCAAAAAAAAAAAACCAAAAAAAAAAACCAAACCCACTGTCAAGTTGATTATGACTCATAGTGACCCAGTAGGATAGAGTAGAACTGCCCCATAGGGTTTCCAAGGCTGTAATCTTTACAGAAGCAGACTGCCATATCTTTCTCCCACAGAGTGGCTGGTGGGTTCAAACTGCCAACCTTTCAGTTAGCACCAAGCGCTTAACCATTGTGCCACCAGGGCTCCTTCCAAATTGTCTATCTTCCCTTTTTTACCTGAAGCAGCCCCTTACCAGAGTACAGTCAAATACCTGAAGAAGTTCCTCATATTTTTCAGGATCCTCTTCCATCAACGTCCTGATCTGGTTGTTATAGTGATGTGCTATTGATTCTTCCACGGCCACGGTGCATGCCATCGCACCTTCCTTCCCGAGCAAGGCAGTTCCAGCTCCTGGAACGATCAAGTCCAGAGCAGTAAGGGAAGGGACTGCTACCACTGATGAGCGAGATCATTTAAGGTCAGGGTTTCACAACCTTGGTACAATCGACATTAGGGGCCAGATGATTCTTTGTGGTGGGGGGCTGCCCTGTGTGCCGTAGGGTTTTTAGCAGCATCTCTGGCCTCTATTCTACCCATCAGATGTCAGTAGCAACCCCTCCTCCCCGGTTGTGACAACCCAAAAATGTCTCCAGACATTGCCAAATGTCCTCTGAGGGGCCAATTCATCCTGGGTTAAAAAATCACTGTTTTGGGTGGCACGAGATCATAGTGTTAAACAGAGTCACACAGTAAGACAGCTATTCTCTTTTCAATGCTCTCTCTGACCTTCTGATTATAGGAGAAAGCCTTCGTTTGGGGTGAGTATGTCTGATTCTCCTATACCATTCACTCTTCTCCCTTTTTAAAAGGGCGAGCAGATCTCAGGTTGAAAGCCTTTGTCAGATGACAGTATCTGGCTGCAAGTGAATGACTCTAGTTTCCCCTGCCCCCCGTGTTTATTTTGACTGTCCCTCCTATAGGGTCACCAGGAGTTGAAATTGACTCGAAAGGAATGTGTTCAGCGTGTGCTGAATGGTGTAGAGTCTAGAAGAAAAATTTCCAAGTCTTCTTTGCACATTTGAATCATGTACACAGAAATATTTAAGTATTTCAGCAAAGCAGATAATAGAAAGCAGCCATTAAGTAACATTATTTACATTTACCAAATATTACCTATTAGTTATTTTACTTCTTTAATCCAAATGCAAGGAACCCTGGTGGCATGATGGTTAAGCACTTGGCTGCTAAGCAAAAGGCTGGCTGTTCAAACTCAACCAGCGGCTCCATGGGAAAAAGACCTACTCCGGTACAGACTACAGCCCAAGAAACCCTATGGGGCAGTTCTACTGTTCTATAGGGTCACTGTGAGTCAGAATCGACTCGATGGCACACAACAACAACAACGTTTATGGAAGTACTGATCTTAAGATTCCATCATAAAAGAATTTAAGCCAAAAAAAGTCAACTTAACTTTAAGAAAAATATTAATAATAAAAAATAGTTAACAGGACACGTCAAGAATTATGGAAATGGGACTTGAATGATTCAATTATCCAAAATCACAAAGCTCACATAAGCTCTTCTGGGCAGATGCTTACCCAGGGCAAACCCCACCACATTCCAAAAGGGCATCAGAATCGTCGGCCGGACCCTGAATACAACCATCAACTCATTGAACTTCTTCAAATGGTCCTTTTCCTGATCCCACATTTTCTGTAAGAAATATAAAGACATCCAAGCATTCCATGGAGGCCTACTGCTACATACCAAGGATGCTACACGCCCTGTTCGTGTGGTCTAAAGGAAGCAAAACGGAAATGCAGAAAATGATGAGGGCTGCTACTTCCCCAGCTCCTCTCACATCATCAGTGAGAAAAGTAAACCATCAGACTAAGAAGAATCTCTGATGCAGAGAAGAGGGTGCCCACAACTTGTGTTCAACAAACCCATTTCCATGGTATTAGTTGCTCTACATCAACTCATTTATTCCTCACCAAAACTCAATGAGGTAGGTGGCATCACCCCATTTTGCAGATATGGATGGAAATGGAGTCCCAGACAGATCGTGACTTCCCCAGGTCACAAAGAGAGGAGGTGGGACAGAGCTGGGCCGTGAACCCAGGTCTATGTGACTACAAAGCCCAAGCTCCTTCCACTGCCCTGGCACTGCCTGTCAGCACAAAATCTCTCCACTGTCCAGTGATTGTGGACGGGTTACACCAGTATCCTCACCTAACACCTGATCCTTTGTCTGTTTTCATTACCGCCTCCCCACAACATTTTAAAACTACAGATATATTTTCTGTTTATGTACTATATGTATGTCTATGCTTTACACGTAAAAAGAGTAAGATTTTTTTCACCCCATCCCATCCCATCCCCAAGAATCAATTTTCATTCTCTTGGGGATGACGCAGCTTCCCTTGTGGACACCTGGCCTAAGTTGGGCCTGAGGCCTTTGGATCATCCGTGCAGCACAGCAGGTGAGAGAGCTAAAGAGCACCCACCTGGATGACCGGCCCGACGCTCGTCCGGCCCAGGACGGCCATCTGCCCTGCATAGATGCGGTTGGCTCCGTATTCACCTGCATGGTCCACCCGGATTATTCGATCCACAGCTGCCCAATTGATATTGTCTAAGGTCATTCTTGAACTGCAAAATCTGACACCGACTTTCCTTCCATAAGCTGCAATACAAGTGTTTATTCTTCATTAGTCTCAGGTAAAATCGGGATGGACCCTTTTACAGACAAGAACACCTTGGAACAAAGGTTGCAAAACGAGCTCCTGTGGGCCAGATATGTCCAGAAACATATTTTGTTTCACCCACAGTGTTTTTTAAAAAATGAATTCGTTATCAACATTTAAAACCTTGAAGATTTTACCTAAAGCTCTGGATGTTTTGGCTTCACTTCAAATATCTGAAGACCTGGCACCACTGAGCCTGCAGGTAAGTGGCAGCCACCTCTAGGTGGCCAGGGCTCTCCAGCTCACCTGTGCCCTCCTGCTTCACTCTTTTATGTCAGTAACTCCCAACACTGGCTGCACACTGCAACCCATCGGGAGCTCTCAAAAACACAGACGCTCCTCCCTAGCTCAATCACTCTATCTCTAGGAGGGGGCCTGACTGAGATTTTTAAGAAGTTCTCTGCATAAATCTGACCTGCAGCCAATGTTGAGACCACAGACTTAAGCTCTAGCAGGCATATGATTTTGAGAGTCCAGTCTAGCCCTTGTGCTTAGGTGTCATCTCATTTTGGTCCAATTCAACCGAACTCTTCTTGTCTTCAAATTTAAATTCTTCAGGGTCAGATTTCACCTTTTAAGAAACTCCTAGTAGTAGCACCTTAATTTTATTCTTTGAGCCCTATATTGTTGGTGTTAGTTGCTGTTGACTCTGACTCATGGCGACCCCATGTGTGCAGATCTAGAACTGCTCCATAAGGTTTCCAAGGCTGTGACTTTTTGGAAGATCACCAGGCCTGTCTTCTGAGGCAACTCTGGGTGAGTTCAAACTGCCAACCTTTCAGCTAGTAGTCAAGCACTTAACCATTTGTGGTGCTCATGGACTCCTGAGCCTTATATTAGGGTATCTCAAAAGTTCTTTCCCCTAAGAGGAGGGTTTTGTGGATGTTAGTCTGAAATATGAACATCAACCTGTACTGATACCACCTTGAAATGTGTTTCAGGGCTCATGTTATGGATAACTTCTTTTCTCTTAGGCTAACTTCAATACTCAGGAAATATGTGGGAAAAATTCGTTTTGGGTATATTTGTGGGTCTTTCATTAAAAAGACTTGGGTGCTTTGGACAGAAGGTGATAGTGTGGTGTTATGGATTGAATTGTGTCCCCAAAAAAGATATGCTGAAGTCTTAACCCCTGTACCTGTGAATGTGACCCTGATTGGAAATAGGATTTTTCTTTTACATTAATGAGGTCATACTGGAGTGGGGTGGGTCCTAAACATAGTCCTTTCTGAGTGGCAGCTTATAAAAAGGGAAAGCAGACAAAGAGATACACACAGGCGCACGCGCGGGTGCAGGCACGCGGAGGAAGGCATCACATGCAACAGAGAGCCTAGCCCTGCCGACGCCCTAAATTCAGACTCCCTAGCCTCCAACACTGTGACACAATAAATCTCTGTTCTTTAAAGCCACCCACTTGTGGTATTTTTGTTACGACAACACGAGGTAACCAAGACGGGTGGGCTTGGTGGAATTTGGAGGGGCAGTCGGCACTTTAACTTTTCTACCTGGTAGAGTTTTAAACACTGCATTCTAAACAAAGGAGGATGGACGTGGAGTTCTGAGGCGTCACGACTCAGCTTTAGCCTGCTCCTCCTTGTGACCTGCTCCAGCTTACTGAGCATATTTGACTTAGTGAGACACCAGGAAGTGCGTGGAGTCCCAGTTCTGCCCGGTGTACCATACCACGCGGACCTGTGCCATCAGACAGTGGGTCACTGTAGTCTGCGGCCATGTTTTTACGTGGAGAACAGTTTGAGACATCTGACAAGGTTAAGGCAGCCTGTCTCAAGATTTTGGTACCAAGCTCAAGGACTGGTGCTTCCATCGTGGATCTCCTAGCAGAGAGATGGAGTCCAGTAATTGTAAATGATGAACTGGTTCTATTTTTTTTTCAAAATAATCTTATTTCCTTGTTTTGTGATTTGTTACCGCCAAAAACATGTTAACGGGAAAGCACTTTAGAGACAACCTAGTGCTTCTTTAAAAAAAAAAAAAAAATCATTTACTGAGAAACAGTAAGGCACTGAGGACAGAAGATGAGTTCACACAGCTGACTTCTGACAGGTAACGGCGAGATTTGTTTTTAAAACATTGCACTCTTCTCTAAGACTGCGCCACTTCCAGACTCAGGTACCCAAGAAATGATTTGGGGGGCGGTAATTGAGTACTGTGATATTTTCCACTTTTATCTTCACAATCTCTGCAAAATGTCTTCATAAAGTATGGGGTGGGCCACAGAAAGAGAATGGACCTACAGTCAGAAAACACATGTCCAATCTCTAACACTAACCTTGGACAAATCAGAGCTGCCACTTCTTACATACAAAATTGGCAATCATCATGCTAGTTCCTTTTTAAGGGAAAACATACATAAGAAAACCTCTTTTCCTGAGTTATTGTGAGGATAAAATGAGATGTTGTTGCTGCTAGTTGCTACCCAGTCAATTCCAACTCACGGCAACCCCATGGAGAACTGTGCTCCACAGGGCCTTCAAAACTGCAAGCTTTCAGAAGCATATTGCCAGGTTTAAACCACCAACCATTCAGCTAGTAGTTGACTGCTGTTGTGGATTGAATTATATCCCCAAAAATATGTGTTGTAAATCCTAGCCTCTATGCCTGTGGTTATAATCCCATTTGGGAATGGGTTTCCCTTGTTATGTTAATGAGGTATGATTAGTGTAGGGTGTATACTGAGTCAATCTCTTTTGAGATGTAAAAGAGATTAAATAAGCAAGAAAAGACAGGGGAAGAAAGAAGCCAAGCACATGAAGATTGCCTGGAGCAGAAGCTCAGAAGAGACAAGGACCTTCCTCGAGAGAGACAGAAAGCCTTCCCCTAGAGCAGGAGCCCTGAATTTGGACTTCTAGCCTCCTAAACTGTGAGAAAATAAATTTGTTAAAGCTATCCACTTGTGGTATCTCTTTTATAACAGCATTGGATAACTAAGACAAGCACATAACTATTTGCACCACCTAGGGAGCAAAATAACAATAAATAAAAAAGGACTGATTCTTACTGTTATGCTCACTGCCTCAAGAGAAGAGCATTAAAATCCACATTCAACAATCCTCTGAGTTTTGCCTGCGCTGTCACACTTTAAAATCAAATTGAGGTCTGGTGCTAGAAGCTCTCAAATGCATTATTTTATATCAGTGTTCTCCCAAAGTATGAAACACATACCAACAGTGGTACTGAAGAGATTTTAACTGGTACATGAGAAGATTTTAACGGGTTTATGGGCATGCATACCCATGTAAGTTTCAGCTAGGATATCCTGAACACCTTCGTAACACTTGCTAATCTCCCTTTTCACCAAAAAGAAAAATAGTCTTGGATCAAACCTTGGTAGACAACAGTATCTAGAGGAAACTTAGTAACTTTTTCTTTACAGTGTATTTATTTCTTATGATTTTTATGATGATCCATTTGATACTGATCAAGTCGATTCCAACTCATAGCGACCCTATAAGATAAAGCAGAACAGTCCCACAGGGTTTCCAAGGAACGGCTGGTGGACTTGAACTGCCAACGTTTTGGTTAGCAGCCACCAAGGTACAGATACCGATTTAGTAGGTCTAGGGTGGGGCCTGAGAGTCTGCATTTGTAACAAGCTCCTAAGTGAAACCGATGTTGCTGGTCTAAGGACCACTCTGAGCGGCAAAGACCTGGGCGAAGGCTACGATGACACCCTGGAACAGAGCTTGTGATGTCGCCAACTGTCCTTAGCCCAAATCTCCGAACACACCTGTCGTGATGTCACGGCACAGGTGTGCAAATATGTCATTCCGCAACGCGACTACCCTGACCGGCCGTGGCAAAGTGTCACTGCCGAAAACCACCCAGTTCCTACCAGTTAATCTCGCAGGGAACTACAGACCCCACCCCGTGACTCCGCCCTCCGCATCCAGCCCGCCTTCCCCGCCGCGTTTTGTCACGCAGTCGCAGCCCTGGGACGCGAAGCGCCTCCACCGTGACCCCTCCAAACCACTCAGACAAAAATTCCCTAGTTTACAGGCTCAGCGCGGGGCCGCGGCCCTGCCTCCCCTTTACCTGAAAGGGACCGCCGGGCACCCGTGCGCAGCCGCCACATTGGGCGAGCCACCGCTGGGGCGCAACTCATCGTCCGAACAACAGACCAGCCGCGCCTATGCACGAACCGGGCCACACGTGCCCTTGGCGCGGACTGATGACGCATAGGAGACGTAAGGAAGACGCTACTTGTCCTTGCACTTGGTGGAAACATCCCTGGTTCCACCGCCCCCATTCGATTGCTTGGAAACGGCCAATGAAAAGACTCTATTGGATGCAGTCTCTGTCAATCACTCATGAGTAGTCTTTGGGTTACCATGGAAATAAGAATGCGAAATTGTTCTTTCAAAGGTCCAAATAGGATCAAGATTTCTCACCAAAGTTCCTGAGAAAGAAGACTGTGAGGGAATTATTTATTCACATAGTTATAGTATTTTCTGCTTTACCAACGTGGAAGGGGATTTTTCTCTATTTGTATCCCACATCCTCTTTAAAATATTAAAAATTACATGCTGCAATTAAATTCACCACATGGTTATCTCTAGCTGGTGGACTGACAACTGACTTAGAATTTCTTCCTTTTCTCAGTCTTCAGATTTTCTACAGAGAACATGTATTTTTTTCTGTCCACTTTACTGTTGGTATGAACGTATATTGATGCAAAGGTATTTTTGGGGGGTCGGGTAGGAGATTTAGCAACATGTATTTTTAAATGTGCATATACATTGATACAATAATCCTAATTCTAGGGATCTAGCCAGCAGAAATTATTTCTCGAATGAGTAAAGGTATATGAGGAGACCTGGTTGCACAGTGGTTAAGCACTCGGCTGCTAACCTAAAGGTCGGCAGGTGGAACCCACCAGCTCCTCCAAGGGAGAAAGATGTGGCAGTCTGCTTCCTTAAAGATTACAGCCTTGGAAACCCTGTGGGGCAGTTCTACTGTCCTATGGGGTCGCTGCGCGTTGGAATCAACTAACAGCAATGGATATGGGTGGGTACAGTGTTCAAATTACTTTAACACACTACAATAATTTAAAATTATGATGAACTACATATATTTTTTAAACCCAAGTGCTTAGTGCTAGTGAGGGTGATGTAACATTCTCATGTAAAACTACTGAGTGTAAATCTAGCCCTCAAAAGCCTTAAAATGTTCAAAACCTTTGCTGCAATCCACTTCTAGGTCTCTGTCTCTAAGGAGAAAAATGCTGACAAAGATTTATGGATGTCCCAGTTATTTATTAGTAGGAAAACTAGGAAACAAAATGTTAAGCAGCCAGGGAATTGTTAAAAAAGTATAATGTTATGTCTATTGAAATGTTTATAAAGAACTTTTGATAACATGAGAAAACACTTAAGTGGAAAAAAAATGAGAATGCCAAATTCTTTCTTTGCTCTTCATCTTCCCTCCCTCTCTCCCTCTGTACTTTTATTTTAAAAGGAATTTTGCCAAGATTAACAGTGGATGTCCATGAACGGTGCTTATGAGTAATTTTTATTTTTTTCTCTGTAGTTTTCAATGTTTTCCATAATAAACATGTATTTTTAAATGAGAAAACAAAATTTCAAAAAAAGCATATTAATCCCTAATTCAATCCTTAAAACTAAGTGAAATGTATGTATTATTTTTCCATGTTAAAGAGATGGAACTAAGCCTCAGAGAGGTGATGACACTTGTCCAAAATCACACATTAGGCAGGTCACAAAGCCATTCCATGTCCCAAGCACATCCCACGGCATCGGAAAGGATATAACCAGAAGAAACTTGCTAGTAAAACCACATGAAAATACACACACATACACACACACAGTGGTGCAAAAGGCTAAGTGCTCGACTGCTAACCAAAAGTTCGGAGGTTCGAGTCTACCCAGAGCCCCTTAGAAGAAAGTTCTGGGGTTCTACTTCCGAAAAATCAGCCATTGAAAACCCTATGGAGCACAGTTCTACTGTGACACACACAGAGTCACCATGTGTCAGAATCAACTCGACAGCAACTACACTAGACTAGATATAATAAAAAAGATACATTAAGAAGTTCTTTCTCCCCAGGGGTCAGACCTTTTGCCACCTTGGCAAAATTAATTCCTTTCTCTTCCAATACTTAAACAGCTGGGTAGCTGCAATCACATTTGCCAGTTTAAGAGTTAAAGCAAATTAAGGACTGGCTTCACTGGATTCTTGTCTTTGCTGGGATGGGAACATTTTGTGGCTGTGACAACTGGCAAGGCTGTCTTGATAAAGAACAAGGACCTACAGCAGAATGGGGCAAAAAATAGAACTGTTTGCAGGAGTCTTTCAAATTTAAGCACCCAGTGTTTTCAACAGGGAAAACAAATTGGAAACAATCTGAATATTGGTCAGGGGTGAATGGTTATAGAGACACGATGGAATTGATACAATGGAATTCCATGTTGCCATTAAAAAGAATGAGGTAGTTGCTTATATGGAAAAACCCGTTGCCAGTGAGTCCAGTCTGACTCATAGTGACTCTACAGGACAGGGTAGAACTGCCCTGTAGGGTTTCCAAGGCTGTGGGTTTTTTAATCTTTACGGAAGCAGACTGCCACATCTTTCTCCTGTGAACTGCTGACCTTTCGGTTAGCAGCCAAGTGCTTAACTGCTGCACCACAAGGGCTCTCCAAAATAGGTTATTAAGTTGAAAAGGGGGGAAGAGCACAGAAATACATATTTCACAGTACAACCACATATGTATGTCTGCTTGAATATGTATTCAAATAATCTGGAAGAATAAAATATGTTAGCAGTGGTTCCCTCTAGAATGGGATGGGGAGTGCTTGAAGTAATTTTGTTTCGTAAGTTCATTGTAAACACACATACACATACGCCCCTTCCAACTCCTACAGAGCCAAGGAGTCTAAAAAGTACTCATCTGCTGATGGCATTAAACGCTCCTTTCTTCTCTCTGTGATTCTAGGTAACAGTAAACAGCGATCTTACAAACTGGTACCATTTTCCTTGATGACTTGATTGCTAACAAGAAGGCTCCATGAATCCAAATATACACAACCACATTTTAAAACCCTGAAGATACCGTTTAATCAGTAGTTTTAATGCACGTTTGTTAGTGAGAGCTGCATTTTAAAAATCATACAGATATCACCTGAAGTTATTAAAGTTGTCAAAATATAGAAACATATTCAAGTAAGAGGTATGCAAATTAGCAGCAATTAACTAAACTAATAAATTAGTACATTTCACTATCAGTTTTATAACAGGAAAGAAAAAACAGCTCAATTTATTTTCATTGTTTCCATCACACATACACACTTTCACACACACACACACACACAGAAAACTTGACTGTCCTCAGAAACATGTAAAGGTGAGAACATTTCACATACACAAAGGCATTAGACAGAAATGCCAACAGTTAGAATTTGTTTTTTAAGTGAGGATGGGATGAATCTTTGGTTACTTAGAATTCCATGATACCAGTTATTAGATTGAGAATCTCATAAGCCATCACAAGATAGGGATTTCTTGAAAAGCCTGTCAGTCTCACAGGTACAAAAATATCCCATGTTAACGCTACCTTTGTGGAAGAGTAAGAAAATGCCTCTCTGGCAAAGGGACAAGTATACAGAAATGTGCAAGCTATGACAAGCTTGCTTTGCTCCTCAGAGCAAGGAGTCAGTCACGTTTGAGTCATGGGGGTGGGGGGGTGGTAGGAATTATTCTTTCTGAAACCTGCATCCAACTCTTAAGTTCTAGCTACCCCCCAAGAAAGGTCTGGAGTAAATGAAAGAAAAACAATGGGAGGAAGGCCCGAATCGTCCATTACAAAACCACACTACTTTGAAAAAGAGTTTTGAAGACATTAAATGAAAACTGTTACATTCAACAATAACTTAGGCTATATATATCAAGAGGTTCAGAGCTATCAATTTCGGGGAAGCTTATGACAAGCTACTTATTGCACATGGTTCTTACTGTAACGGAAATTTGAAGAGATACTCCACAAGTTTTATAAAATAAAGGCACATGCATTTAAAATTTTAAGCACAGGGCAACAGAAGTAGGCTTTCAACATGTGGATATCTCTATGTAAGAAACCGGTATTCAATATAGTCTGCTACATTTTCACGGGCTGGTCTGAAGAACAGGTTGAGTTACAACCCACATCCCAAAACACTTATGCACAGAAACTCACAGCTCAGATACTAACCAGCACTTTCCAGCCTGGCTTTGAAACGTTAAGTGTCCTTCAGAAGTGGAGACCTCAGTGCAGGAAAGGGAATGGCATGTGGAAGATCAAAAGACCAACTCTGACTGCTAATTTTGATGGCACAGGATCCTCTGGCAAATCTCCAGGACTCAGAACGAGAAGGGAACCAAGGTTTGAGGACAGCCAGCCACCAGAGGCAGCTTTCCCCTGAGTAATAAGGCTGCAGCAAACTGCCCAGAAAGTGAAGAAATCAAGGCTGACAACCTACAGCAACTCACTTCATCATAAGGCTTCTTCTAGGGCATTCAAGAGCTGCTTATTCACACAGCAAGGAATGGGTTTTTCTCTAATTCCTACCTCGTAGCTGAAACCACACAACCATTCTCTTCATTTTCTCACCATCTGTCCCAAACATCACTTAAAAAACCAAGTCTCATTTTAGGCGAACAAAATCATTCAAAAGGGTCACTGCTGCTTAAGGCACATTCCTCAGCCTAACCCCCATAACCTGGATAAAAGGAAGTAATCCAGTCTCATGAATGGGTGACTCCAAAATTAACTTTAAAAGACAAGGCAAGCATGCTTTTAAAAATGAAAAGTCCTCTTCTCCTCAATTTTGGTTGTAAAGGCATGAACCACTCAGCAAATTAATTTTCAGGTACAGTCAATGACCTGTCGGTCTATAGGAAAAGACTTGGTTTTTAACCTGCTTTTCTTCTAAGTCACCAGTGCCCTAACATAGGGACAGGGTTATGGAAAACACAGCCCCCACCGCTGCTCATGTGGAGCCCGGGGCAGGAAAACCTGAAGTCTAGAAAATACATATTAAAATTCTGTTCAAAACTCAGGTGGGCTTTGAAAATTTGGCAGAGTCGCTAGGTCAGCTTATAAGCAAAACACATCAGCATCTTCGGCATCAGTCTAGTTGGTTCCTCATATCCTTTTG